CTTGGTCTTACACACAAATTCTGGGTGTCTTATCTACCTACCCACTATTCAGGTGGATACCTGGATAATATACATGGATAACTGTACTGTTTAAAAATCCATAATGTTAATACTATCAAGTTTACCTGAGTCAGGTGTGGCCACAATCCACCTAAGGGGGTGGAGGCAGAAGAACAAAAAGGAGAGGAGAAAGAATGGGAGGATGGAAAGGAAGTGACGAAAAAAAAGGAGAAAGAAGAATTGCACCAAGAAAGAGGAGGGGCAGCAGCAGCATAGCAGCAGCAGCAGCAGAAGAAGAAGAAGAAGAAGAAGAAGAAGAAGAAGAAGAAGAAGAAGAAGAAGAAGAAGAAGAAGAAGAAGAAGAAGAAGAAGAAGAAGAAGAAGAAGAAAAAGAAAAAGAAGAAGAAGAAGAAGAAGAAGAAGAAGAAGAAGAAGAAGAATAGGAAGAAGGAGAAGGAAGAGGATCAGCACAAGGATTAGTCGCAACAGCAAAAGAAGAAGGATTATGAGGAGGTAATGAAGATGAAGTCGAAGGGGAAAAAAGTAGTAATACATTTTCAAATAATAATATATAATTTTACGATAATATAATTAAAAGCTACACATTTTATATAACAGCAAGTTGTCTAAAAGATTATGTGTTGTGAAATTTGTGAAATTAGTATGATTAAAGTATTAGAGGATAGTGTATTACAACGTCAGCACATCTCAACAGAACCTTTAGAATACTTCAGATTAACTTCGTTTTCTGAATCCTAGATTTTTGTTTTTGTTTTCGATTGTTGCTACCTGGCTATTGGGTTGAATTGGCGACTGCTCATGACTGAGTCAGCCTCAAAATAAATGTCTGGCTTAAATGTGAGCTATGAGTTAGTTAAGACAAGTGTAACGAGATTACAATCATCAAAATCCGTTACCTACATAGGTAATTGGTTGGGGAGGGGGAGAGGGCAGCTGCACTCCTTTGCAAATTAGCTTAAGGGAGCCGAGGATAAGGGGAACCAAGCCTTGTTTAAGTGCTCAAAAGAATACTAGTATGGTGAATGGCAGGTAAACAAACACAAAATATTTTTTGAAATAATATGTTGTGTACAAACAAAAATTTGAAGAAAGAAAGAAAAACGATTCTAAACACTGTTACTGGGGGTTGGGTGGCGGCGGAGTTCCAATCCCAATGATTTTTTGGGGCCCTCAAGGTATCTACACCCCCAGGTTCCGGCGACCGTGCACGAAGGCCCTACTTGTAAGTTCCCCGAAGACTGAGTTGGGCATGCGGGTTTTGCCCTCTTTGTTGATTTTCATCCCTGATGCAACGACATCGCAGGGATGATGAAATTGACAGGCAGACGTTCTTTCTTCTACTCAACGGAGTTGAATGATATGAACTACCCCTGACCTTCAAAGAATCGCATACTGGATGTGAAGTCAAAAGGCACATCCCAATTAACGTGTTCAACCTACACAGAATTTATACTGGGACACCCGTGATGGCGACACCAAGTGGTGTACAGTGTAAACTTTTTGTTTGCTTGCCCCCCCCCCCCCCCCAAGCGCTCCTACTTGATGGTCTGACGATCCCGAGATTATAAAAAATCTCCTTCTGTATAGCAAGCAAAAAGGGGAAATCTCAGCCATCCTGTTCAACCTCCAAAGAAGTTAAAATGGCGCATCCGTATCTATCACGCCAGCCTGATGCAGCGAGCATTTCTGTGCTGGTAAAGATGCGTTCAAGTCAGTCCTTGAAAAAAAAGTAGTTGCTATGACTGAGTTATAAGATGGTATGGGCAAAGGAACCTGAGGGCTAAGACATCTTGCGCTCCCTTTCAATTTCCCCGAAGTTTAAAGGAAGGGGGGGGGGGAGGGGCGAAGTAACTATGGGGTGACTCGTTTGCTATGAAACTAAGATTACCAAGATTACCAATAATTAATAAAGCTATTATTATTATTATTGCACACTTCAACAATACCCCACCTCCTGATTTCGCAGTGGCGGCATGCCTGCATGATGGAACTGATAAAATCGACCAGGTGAACTCCAGAAAACCTTCTTATGCTGTAATCTAATACTGTGCAGTTGCCAAGCGCCTTACCATTATGTTTATCCATTAATCATAATGTCATGTTGTTATTCTTTCTATCATAAAAAATAACTAGTTGGCTTGAGTTATGTGATGGGAACTCTGAATGCAACTAAGTAAACAACAAGAACATATAATGCTCATAATTTTGAGATACTCGGTTCGATTCCAGTGCAGGAGCAGGTAGACTGCTTTTCTTTGATTTTGACTACCCTGTCGAGAACTGACAGTTCTCAAACTAACGGCAAACTGCTGAACATTACAAAACATAACGAGCCAGCAAATGCTATGGTTTATTCTGCAATGTCCTGTAAAGGACACACAGCTAGCTTATTTAATGTCTAGTGACTAACATCCTTACACTCTGCAATGTGGTAACTAATAATGTCAAGGTGTTATGCCTCCAATATGACTCATACTAAACATTAATTTTTGCAATGTGGTAACTAGTATTTCAAGGTGTTATGCCCCCTAAATGAGTCGCATTAAACCTCGCATTTCGCTATGTGGTTACTATTATGTCAAGGTATTAAATTATGCCCCCCAAATGACTCATATAAACCTTAAATTCGGCTATGTGGTAATTAGTATGTCAAGGTATTATGACCCCCAAATGACTCACACTAAACCTTACATTCTGCTATGTGGTTACCATTATGTCAAGGTGTTATGACCCACAAATGACTCATACTAAACCTTACATTCTGCTGTGTGGTTTCTATTATGTCAAGGTGTTATGACCCACAAATGACTCATTCTAAACCTTAAATTCGGCTATGTGGTAATTAGTATGTCAAGGTGTTATGACCCTCAAATGACTCATACCAAACCTTACATTCTGCTATGTGGTTACCATTATGTCAAAGTATTATGCCCCCTAAATGACTCACACCAAACCTTACATTTTGCTATGTGGTTACCACTATGTCAAGGTGTTATGCTCCCTAAATTACTCACACCAAACCTTACATTCTGCTATGTGGTTACTATGATGTCAAGGTATTATGCCCCCTAAATTACTCACAACAAACCTTACATTCTGCTATGTGGTAACTATTATGTCAAAGGTATTATGCCCCCTAAATGAATCACACTAAACCTTACATTTTGCTATGTGGTTACTATTATTTCAAGGTGTTATGAGGTTCTAAAACTGCCATTTTATTCTTTAAATGTGAACGTAAATAGTACCATCCATAACTACCCCACTCTTCCAATCTCAGGAAAGTGTCTGTCAAGGAATGAACCGCCACTACACATATTAGACGAGTCGGGACCTGGTATTCCCCCCCCCCCCCCTCGGCAAAATTTCAAATTTAGACCCGTCCGGAAAGGTATATAGTCCCTTATATTGATCTATACCTTTATCGGGTAAAATAATAATTTCTAGACCTTTTAGTTGCTTTGACTTATCGTAATTTTCAAATCTGCAACTGTAGGTTGACGTTTTCTAGGTTTTATTTGAATATTCCTGGAAACCGGTTTACTCCTTGCTCATGTATACAAGGGACTTCTTTTCTACTGACGCCAAGCGTAAGTTAGAGCGGGCATTTTCTGCCTGAATTCCTAGAGATCAGATGTGTTCATCGGCGCCTCGTAAATTTATACTTTGAGAAGGCGGCCTGTAGTGTCTAGGACATTTCCTAAGCTTGGGTAAGTTACTTATAGTTTACGAGTACCTTAAATGATGTCTTGTTAAAAGGGTCACTGCTGTAGATAGAGCGGTATCGGTTATGTGATCGCACAGAGTTCGACCGTTCTTGATGTCAAGAGAACCGGATCCGAACCTTAGACCTTCTTCTGTCCAGACTAAATAGATTGTGCCTAGATTAACCCACACCACTGGTAAAGATATTGAACCCTACAAGTATTTATCCCTTAAACTAGCAACAGAGGTTGGTGCAGTATTAACGGGGACGGAGAATGTAGGTCAGTTTTTTCGGCAACTATAGCGTTGCTTTGAGTGTGGTTGACACAGATCAATGGGTGTGTAGAGAATGGCCTGAGAGACGGAGGAGATATGGGTACTGACTGTAAACATTGGTGTCTGTATGCAGATGTGAGGGGGGGGGGGGGAGAGAGAGAATGATATGTATGTGATAGTGTCTATCTATCTCCACTATATATATATTTGACTTTCCATCTCTTGCACTAAACAGACAGATAAATGAAAGGAGACATTGTCTCCTAGTCTTCAGAGTACACTCTGAGGAATGTAACAGAGGAGCAGAGGTGGAGTGAGCTGATGAGTGATGGAAACTGATTACTAATTCTGAGTTCTTTCCTGTCAAGATGATACCCTCTTGGTGATTACTAATTCTGAGTATTTTACTGACAGGATGAAACCTCTGTAGAAAGCGGGCAGATCAATCACAGTCCTACCAACAACTGCTAACTAACCACCAGCTAACACCAGTGAATGTACCTAGCAATAACATGTCGTGCCCTATATACCACTACTTTAACATGGCCAGAGAGTGTGTGTGAGCTCCAGGGCGAGTGAATATTTGCACAGATTGTGTCAAAATCAGGTGCACCAGTCTTCAGGAGCTTGGTTGAGCTCTGAGGCAGCTTTGTGACTTGAAATAAGTTGAGCGTATATTGGCCACGGGGCATCCCTTAGACCAATACGAGCCAAACGACTCAACATAATTATTTTTGAGTGCTGTTGGTTCTTAAGGAGAAATCCTTAAATCAGGCACGTGACAGGAATTATATGTGACAGTGTCCAAGTGCAGAAGTATTGCACTGCTTTCACTCTGTAATCTTATTAGGCCAGAACTTTTCTCTGCCTACCTCTTCTCCAGTTGAATCAGCTTCTTTCCAGGAGGAGAAGGAGGAAGGGCAGAAGAAGAGGAGGCGGATAAAGAGCAGTAAGAGAAGGAAACGTAGAGGGAAGAATAAGGCAGTATTAACACTCACCTGTGCCAGAACTCCACTGACAGGAGCCAGCTTTGGTGGGGTCGTGTCCAGATCCTCTGACAGACTTTGTGCTTTTCGCTCCATACTTCCTTCATTGGCTACATCCAGTGAATCATTACTATAGCACACACGAGAACCCTGACAGTTTGGAGTTAACAGGCTCAGTTTCAAAGCAGGGGGTGACCAAGTCTTTCTTCTGCTGTGATGTTGGTGACTGTTGTACCGAAACTGCATCTGGCTTGCTTGCTCATGGCTGGGATTAAAAGGCTCTTGTGGAGGCATGGAGCCAGAAGCTACTGAGTGATGAAATGCTGGCTGTTGGTAATGATGGAAGCTGTGGTTGTTTTGTGGCTGTTTATAAATTGTGTTTGATCCACTTCTGACCTCAGACTGTCTAGTTTGTTTATTGTGAAAATTATATTGAACATGTGTCGGTCTTTGTGTATTCTGAGGGTGTGCTGATACCAACATGTTATTCTGCACTGCTGAATATGAATGTCTGATTAAGGGATGTGAGGATGTGTCATTACCATGGCTAAAGTGAGTACTGCTTCTTCCCCCATGGTCTAAATGTGCATCTGGTTTATGTGAGCCATGACCATGTGTGCTTGAATATATCTCCGCTTCAACATTAGGGCTACCAGTTTTCTTCTCTTTGGACAGAACACTGCTGATGTCTGAAACTGCTACTTGTAAAGGCACATAGTGCAGAGCCTCCAGCACATGCTCCTCCCTGGAAGTATGTGGCGTTCTGCTTCCTTTGCTAGACAGCTGGGAGGCAGCACTTAGTGTGCGTGGTGTGTGAGATAAATAGTTCTGCTTGGTTTGTGGGTTGATGTGGGAGTAGTCCTGGTACTCTCTTCCTGCATTTACTGGACTAAAAATGTACTTGATCTCCCGAGAATAAGTAGAATAACTGGAGGCAGGGCTGCACACGTTCTGATGAACTTCAGGAACAGTTACATCCAGGTCTCGAAGGCTGTCTATACTATTTGACATAGTTCAGACTGTTAGCTGAAACTGTAAAGATAGAAAACATATACAAACTAATGATAAAACTCAGGATATATTATTTAGCAAAACAATGAAATGTGTTAATTTTAAAAAAAAAATTAATTCAACATATGCTTAAATTACACAGATTAGCTAACTTCTGCTGTGTTTATGTGTTGTATTTGACACAGATAACCCTGTTTCTAACCAGCTTATATTAATGAACCACGTAGATGCACTCATTAATGAACTACAACACAGAAAGACACAATAACTGACTTAGCCTCATAAGCCACAGCTTGACAACAGGTAAATTTACTTTTCTGTTCTGTCTCTCCTCTCCCTTCTTATCTTGCTTCTCATCTTCCTCTTTTGTGTTTTTCTGTTACTTATTTTGGAGTGGAGTCCGTCTGCCTACTTAAACACCTTAAGTCAGCGTGTTGGGAAATGAGCAGGCAGACAGACTTGCCTGTTCGGTACCAATTGGGGGAAGACTGGCCTGCAACACTTGGTGGTGAACTGATGTATGACAAGCTAGATGTTGTGAGGCCCTTTGGGAGCGAGTGAACAGTGCGGAGGCACAGATATATCAATATGGTCTGAGGAGAATGGCCCTGCGGGGAGTTACCAAGGAATCTGGGAAGGGTGAGACGGATATACAATCAGATAGTTACTGGTACCATCAGAAATGGAACTCTTTGCCTACTGCTGAAGATGGGGACGGGGCGCTTATGGTGATATCCCGGGTGCTGTCATGTTGATTCTTAATTCAACATTCAAGTCAGTGTGTCACTTCAACAAGCATCGGTTTAATGTTTACTTCCTCTAAATACAATGAATTCACGCTATAAACCTATGAGCCAAAGCCAATTAAAAAAAAAATTCCATTGTGATATCTGGGCCTCCAATTTTCGGTGGAAAAAAAAAGAAGAGAATAATCACTGCCCCTAACAAGCATGTCGTTGAAGGCGACTAATTAGGGTTTCCTCTTAAATCCAAGCGCAACAGTCTGAGGCGAGGAACCAACAGTCTGCATATAAACACTTCATACCTGTAAAACCGATGTGCTCATAAAACTTAAGTTCTGGAACAAGACCAAATTCCATAAGTAGACAAACAACCAGAACTTTCCGCGAGAGTTTACAGCCGGTGAATGCTAAGAAGTAAAGTAAAGTGAAGAACTATTTTCAGGCCTTCAGATGTACCAGGCTAGACCTATATTTTATAGACCAATCAACACTCGGCGGGTGATGTTGTCAACAACATCACGTCGGCCTCCTTTACGTTCCAGAACTATACCTGGTGGACACTCAAGGCTGGGTCGACTCAGGAGCCAAGGTCATTTTTGAAGACGAAGAGCTAATAGTAAAAAGAAAAGAAAAAATCAATCCGGATGGGCATCTGAGTCCTAGACCTTCGGGCCGCAGGCGAGATTTCTGAAGTACACTACGGTTATTCCCTGTTATAAATTATATGAATATCCTTCGACATGCACTGACAGAGGCTTAGCACAAATAGGTTTATCTAGAACACAAAAGTCGGCAGTTCAAAGTAAATGCTATGCTTTATCGCCATGCTCCGTGCATTAACTCATTTGCTGCACACTTTCATGGGTTTACACGGAACTGTTCGTTTGGTCTCACGGAAATGTGCCCCAGCAAAGTTTTGGCTCATGTTGTGGTTTCATAGCTTCCTTTATCTCATTGATCTTGAGAAGAATGCATGTTGCGGTATGCGTGTTTAGAACTGAAGCTGCCATGTTGACGTTTTTACCGGCACAGCAAACTTGGAGACGGCATACCCCGCCCCGGCTTGAGTTGTCTTCGTCACTCGCTAATGAGGGTGGTTGGCCCCCTGTGTTGTGACTTACAGCTAGTCTGCGATATATGCACATTTCAACCCAAAACATCTTCAGCAAACCATAATCAGTCGCTGTTTACGACATGTCTATTAGAAGGACTATTCTCTCTTCCCTACCAACTTTCTCACCCCGAATGGGACATCGAACCCACACGGGAAGGATGATTGTACTTCCTACAATTCATACACACTATACTTATTCAGTCTGAACAGAGGTTAGAAGTGTTGAAAAATCCTTAGGGACAATTAAATACCCAAACCTAACTGAATGAAACATTATATCTTTATGTCCTCCAATCCCAGCCAACCGATGCAGGGGCGCTGGAATCCAGGGGATCAAGCATCGTAGGTCCCTCTCAGAATTATGGAGGGGGGGGGGGTATAAAAATCCCCTATAATATTTGTAAACCCCCACCATGTATACACGTTATCTCTTTAAGTATGCGTTTATTATCATTGTTATTATTGCTACTATTTTATTATTATTATTTAACATATTTCATATAATTTCAAATATATTTTATTCAGCACGTTATCATTATTATTTTTAAGCACTTAAAGGAAGCAAGTCTTTTAAAGCCTCATCCTGTCTTTTTCTTACTTCTTTTGTCGTCTCACTGACAACCAGCTTGTAGCCCAGAGTTGTGATTTTCTGTATTTGCCTTGCGCTTCTTTGGTGGCTTGGGGAACGGATTTATTCATCTTTTTGCAGGTTTAAAACATATTATTTATCCCTCTCCTTCTTGGTCTTCCTTTCGACCTCTTCTCAGATATTCTAGTGTAAAAGAGCCATCTTCTATTATGTAACGTGGTACCAAATCTACCAGCCTCTCAAGTGTTTTCCGACTTCTTTCAATTGGCTAGAGCAGAGGCTTTTTTTTTTTTTTTATTAATATCCTACCCCAGATGACGTCACAGGACAGTCCAACATTTTAGAGGGTGGTAAGACTCGGGTTTCCGGTTTTCTGATACTTTTAACGACCCCAAAACATCTAGAACTGGCCCTAACCGCAACCCACGACTGCATGCAGCCTAGGTCCCACGACTGCATGCAGCCTAGGTCCCACGACTGCATACAGCCTATCTACCACCCCCTGAAATATTAGACTGTCCCGTTACCAGTGGATTTCTCCTGTTTAGGGTAGGATAATAATATAGCACCGACGCTTTAAAGCCCTCCCCCCCCCCCAACCCCCCACCCCGGTTGTCACAGGAGCTAATTTTCCGTGCGACGTTCTCGGCTGGTGCAAGCCGGTACGATGAAGTCGATCACATAGTCTTTAAACATCCATTCCGCAATGACCGTCCATACATTACCACACTAGTAAAGTTAGACATACTCATCAGCACTAACAGTCGGCGACCAGAAGAGACCGATATCCCCAGACACAACACACAATAGAAATTGGCCATATAGACCGCATCACAATACTCAATTAAATATGTTGGTATAGTAATTAATACCGACTACAGCCATAGAATCATTAAGAACGATTAACAGTGCCCAAGTTCACTGATACAATAAAAACAAAAGCAGACAACCAGACACTAACACCATTGTTTGACTTCCCATGGTATCACTGTCCCTTTGTGGTTCTTAGAGCAGCCATAGGCAGACAAAAGAATGACTACGGCGTGAATAAATACACAACTAGACTGTGTGCTATGATGAAGCCGGCCCCCTGCAGAAGGCACATAAAAGCTCAGTCTAAAAGGTAATAGCATACACAGGTCATATGTTACAACAAGCTGAATAGAAAATGTGCAGTAATCATTATTGCAAAATAACCGAGTAAGCGAAATTGTGAATACAGACAGGTATGGCACGAGAATTAGGTAAAGGTGAGTAAGTTTGAGCTTTGTATAGTACCCACTCGTGAGGAGTGGTGTTGATTATTTCACACATACTAATCGCGATTGTATAAAGTGGGTATCTGCCCCTCCACAACTTAACTACTCTAGCTCAAGGTAGTTAGTTAATCTAAATGACAACACAATTTGTGAAAGAAACGTCGTCACCTTATTTTCCATCGTCAAGGGGAAACCGTCACATTATTTTTACAAGCTCTCGTGAACCAAAATGGTTTAAACGCCAAAGTAATGAACAACAACTTTAAGAGCGAAGCTCCAGTGTTCTTCGGTCATGTGATGAGAATAGGGCACCTGAAGAACATCGTGAAGACGGGAAAGATCAACGGTAAAAGAGGCGTAGGTGGACCAAAACGGTAAAAGAGGCGTAGGTGGACCAAGAGAATGGATACCTAGCGGCCTGAACGATGGACTGGATGAAAATATTCAGTGGCATGATGCAGAGTACCAAGAACTGTGATCTGCGGTAAGACATGAGCTCCTACGTCGCAATCACACATGATAATAATGAAATGCGGTTGGCCCAACACATATATTTCAAAGCAACTCTTTTTAATCGCTTCTATCGCTGTGGGTCTACCCCCTCCACTTCACCCCATCCACCCAAAAAGGCCATAGAACCCACACGGGGAAAAACACCAAATAAAATGAAGACAATCGAGATTCGGCAACAATGAGACTTACATGACAGACACTATCTCAGAAGAAACTCTTCTTGTCAGACATCTCAGACAGGAACCTAACCTACAGACACAATCTTAGCCGATAACCTACTGGACAGACACCTCACACTGCAAATAGATATTAATCCTCCCAACAGACACAATCTTAGCCGATAACCTACTGGACAGACACCTCACACTGCAAATAGATATTAATCCTCCCAACAGACACAATCTCAGCTGATAACCTACTGGACAGACAACTCACACTGCAAATAGATATTAATCCTCCCAACAGACACAATCTTAGCCGATAACCTACTGGACAGACACCTCACACTGCAAATAGATAATAAGCCTCCCAACAGACACAATCTCAGCTGATAACCTACTGGACAGACAACTCACACTGCAAATAGATATTAATCCTCCCAACAGACACAATCTCAGCTGATAACCTACTGGACAGACACCTCACACTGCAAATAGATAATAATCCTCCCAACAGACACAATCTTAGCCGATAACCTACTGGACAGACACCTCACACTGCAAATAGATAATAATCCTCCCAACAGACACAATCTCAGCTAGATTTCTTCGCGACAGTCACAA